CCTCGTGTAGCTTTGCGCGAAACTCAAAAACAAACAAACAATACATAACACCTTATGGAGGTGAAGTGTGGTCTTTACGGAACAGCGTTTGGTGTGACATTACATCACCGAAGGACTTACAGTAATTTAAAACAAATATTAATTTCTATACTGGCTTCGAATAAGAACTAAAAATCACAACTCGATAGCACACCTTATGTGATGCACGCTGATGCCGACGAGGCCTTTCGTTAACTGCTAGAACTCATCGGGGTTCGGTAGCGAGTACAACGCATAGAGCCTCGGTCAAAAAGGGCGTGCAGAAGACAGTTAGAAGTGTTGTTATTAATAAGAATTTTTGAATTGAAATACAGAAGAGTGGGTGTAATAATGTCTCAACCATATTACCTTGTCTATTCAGTACCGACGAGGCCTTTCTTTCAATACCAGGGCTCTTCAAGCCGACTGGGATAAGACAAACATGGTATAAGTTGAAACGCTACCTGTATTAATAAATTGTTTAAAAAGAACGGTTAGGGTGTGAATTGGATTATGTTGATGAATCGGGAATGTTCATCAATTTTATTTAAGTACGATCTTCTTACTGGAAATGCGAACAGAGCCAGTAAAGAAAGATTATTTTAAAGCTTTTATCAATTTCCTTATAATGTAATCTCATAGATACCACTGATCTAAGGTCATCTGTCGCTAATTTTGAACTACTACATGACCAGGGAAGGCAGCCAGTCACAGTCTACGTAAAGGAATTAGCCATCACTCTTATAACACACCCAGAGTTTAACGTACAGAGAAATATTCTGTGGCATCAGACGGTTTCGAGCAGGGCACGTCAATTCTGAAATCCAGAACTACACCGCACGATCAACCCACGCCCATCACTGACCTAACGCCTTGCTAATTATTTGTTAAATATATCTTAAACATAGAGCTCAAAGTGAGAGTAGATAACCTGGTGAATTCATTTGAAGGCTTTTATTCTTGATTATTATAAAAATTTCTGAGAATTTCATATATATTATCATATTATAATGAAATGTTTCAAAAATATATCAACAGATGGCGCAAATATTCGAAGAAATCAGTTCCAACTTTTTGTTTTTCTTCCTTTCTTTTTTTCCATTGAAGAAAATGCTATAAACTGATTAAATGTTTCAAAATATTTTTATTTATCTAGTCTTATCTCAGTATCTTCAAGAAATCAAACAGAAATGGGAGTATGGACCAATATGTATAATAATGAAAGCAATATAATATAGGATTGTAGCTTCTATTTATCATGTCCCGACTAGTACTGTGTTTCTTGTGTTCCCCTGATGGCCTCTGTATTGAGCGAAACGCGTCGTCGGAAATGGAATTGGCGAACATAGTGTGGTTGAAATACTATTATTATTATTATTCACACTTCTAATTTGTGAAAATCCCTTAACGACTAGGTAAATAATTTAGCGTTTTAAAAAAATAGAATTAAGCCTAATACTCATGTCTTATGACAAGTATAATTAATTATAATCATGCTTCACCAGCTTGGAAAAAGCGTTCCCATCATGTCAGCTACTGTTGTAATAAATAGCTTATACCAATAGTGTTCGGACGCTGCTGTGTTTAATGTGTTCCTATCAGTCTGATGAATTCTGGACTGAGCGAAACGCGTCGTTAGCAATGGATATAATATATTATAGTGTATTTTTTCTTTACAATAGGTTCTAATTAAACTTCATACAATGAACTAATTTTTCATTATTAATGGAGTTGTCAAAATGAAAGCAATAATGACAACAAAACATTAACTTTGTGTTATGTCGATTCATTTTATTTGATTACTAACAATAAACATCGAGAAGTGGCTTTATAACAGTTGATTAAGTAAATTTTTAGACTCAATATGAAGTAGAATAATTTTTAAATTTCATATTAAAGTAATGAATAAAGAGAATTTAAAAAGTAATATTTCAAGTAACCAGACTGCTTCTGCTCAATATTTTTTATTTATCTAATTAGATACACTAAAAAACGCAAATGAATATGAATTTAATCTAATTTTTTATTAATTCATCTTTGGTTGTTATTAAAATACTAAGCTTTAATAATATTGTTCAGTTTAATTTTCTAGAGGGCATTGAAGTTCTTTATTAATCCAATTTCATAAATCTTGAAATTGTAGAATAGTTTTTAGTCTTTGAGCTGTTCAAGTCTTAAGAATTTTCACAATGAATCAACACTGAAATTTACGTCATTAATAACAAAGATAAGCAGATTTTATGAACAAAATAGTTATTTAAGTTAATGATTTACAAAAGGAAATCACTACCATTGCTGGTCACACACTATAGAAATTCAACTCCACGCAAAGATCGAAAACAATCTCGTGAAAACATGTAAAAGCAATTATAAATAAGCATATAAAACATTTTTTTTTACACGGAAATAAAAGTATACTTAAGTTAACACCATTAAATGGATCAAAAGTATATATCCAAAAATAAATCTTTATATTATTAAATAAATAAATAAATACAAATTCTTAGTGATGTTTATGTTGTATCTAGTAATATAACATTTCTTTTATCACAAAATGTAATTCAAACGAAACTCAATGAGAAAATGATCATATTATTAAATACGTTTATATGAAAACTAAAAAAAAAAAAAAGAAGAGAGAGAGTCTAGAAAATATACATTTGATAACCTAAGTTATCTAAATACTGAAATTATTTCATATTACATAAATAGTTAATAATAAATTACTTCGCAACAAATCCATCAGCACTGGAATCAAGGCAACAAATTTATGAATGTTTCATGAAGACTTCTTTAACTCGACGTTTTTGTAACTGTTATTGTTTAGTTTAAAACATATATCTCTAGAGAAATTTATATCTTTTGAGTCCTCCAAATCCAGCTCGGTCAATCTCATCAAAACTGCGTTTTTTCAATCGAATATTTCTAGCTGTATGAAAAGGTTTTTTGGGAGCTGTATAAACGAATAAGAAACGTTTACCAAAATCATTAAATCCAGCCCGATCGATTTCGTCAAAGTTTCTTTTACCAAAGTTGTTAAATCCAGCTCCATCGATTTCGTCAAAATTTCGTTTATGAAATCCACCGAATCCAGCGCGGTCTATTTCATCAAAATTGCGTTTCCCGAATCCTCCAAAACCGGCGCTGTCAATTTCATCAAAATTACGTTTCCCGAATCCTCCAAAACCGGCGCTGTCAATCTCATCAAAATTTCGTTTCGATGAAGCTTCTTTAATTAGTCGTTTCGTCTCGTACAGGTTGTTTAACGAATCTTGTTTCTTTCCGTGGTGAATTGTGTGTGAATCTTTCCTGTCCTGTAACATAAAAAGTCAAATTATGAACCTCCACAAAATAGATCACCCAGACACTTTCATTAATCTAATATATTTATCATAATAATAATACTCAGTTTTTGTCCTGAAAATGCGCGCGAACCTTACTATATAAATGCGCATGCGCGCTTATTTTATTTCAACGAATAAAAAGGCGGATGTAAATATATTTTAGTACACATTTTGTACAACAATATATTAAAAGCTTATGTTAGTTCTTAATAAGGTCTAGCGTTAAGTCCTAGAATAACATTATAAGTTTATTTATTGATAGTATTAAGTACAGTAAAATTTAGTCCTAACTAAACTCAAGCAAAAAACGAACACAAGTTACGATGTTGATATGTATCTCTTTTATTGAATACAGACCGTACTTGATAAAGATGTAACTAATGTTAGGCCTAAGACAAGTGGAAAAAAGAAGTACAACTGCAATAAATATACAAATTTTACTGCAGATGTTTTGGGGGTCTTTGCTAGTAGTTAGATATATTTAAGTTAAACAGTATTTAAAAACTAAGAACGTCACACTAACAACGAATCTGGAGAACAGACATTACTAATGCTAGTAAAGTGGGGAGTTTGTGTTGTTTATAACGCTAAAATCTGGGGTTTTATCCCCACGGCGAGCTCAACCTATCGTTTAGCTTAACGCTGAAACCACAACTATATCTGAAGGTAAAGAAAATCTGACAAAAGCACAAATCGCTTTAGTTTTTGGGATCAATCGCCTGTTATCAGGTTTGAAATAATTTGATTTAAGTCAAATATTCACCAGTAAATTTTGAAATTAAATTAAATTATATCTTCAGTCAAATTTACTCGGTTGGTTATGGAGACACTTTTACTCTCCTCCCCCCCCCCTCCACTTACACAAACTTAGTAAGTTCATTTTATTCGTCCTCACATTCTGTTTTAAAGGTTCCTTCTGTCTAATCAGTATCACTCTGGTTCAGGTTTTATATCCAGCATTAAAAGTACTCGCGAAAATCTGATTATTTTATAATACAAGACGATTAGTAAGAAAGCGTATAGAATACAAAATAAATAAAAAGAAAACACAGCATATCCCCCCCCCCCAAAAAAAAAAAACAACATTTTGGACATTGAGATTAGATGATTCAACTCAATCACCAGATAAATAACAAAAGAAATTATGACGTACAAAGATAAAGCTGTTCAACGTCGTACTTACAAAGTGCCTAATCTTAGTTCACACACATTAATATACACAGTAAAATAAAGCTGTTCAACGTCGTACTTACAAAGTGCCTAATCTTAGTTCACACACATTAATATACACAGTAAAATAAAGCTGTTCAACTTCGTACTTACAAAGTGCCTAATCTGATAAAGTTCACACACATTAATATACACGCTAAGATAAAGCTGTTCAACGTCGTACTTACAAAGTGCCTAATCTTAGTTCACACACATTAATATACACGCTAAGATAAAGCTGTTCAGCGTCGTACTTACAAAGTTCCTAATCCCGGTTCACACACATTAAGACGACTAATAGAAATATAAAAGCCAAACTTACCATCGATAAAAAAAGTCATAAAATAACACATGATGCAGAGTGAACCCTAGTTTTTGTAAATGTTTGTAATTCAGACATATATGTTAATTAAAACCCCCATCTTAAGCGATAGCTTGTTTTTTTGTAATTCAGCACAAAGCTACACAATGGGCTATCTGTGCTCTCCCCACCACGGGTATCGAAACCCGGATTCTAGCGTAGTAAGTCCGCAAACATACCGCTGTGCCGCTGGGGGGGGGGGGCTAAAGCGATAGCGATGCACATTCTGAAAAGTTATCGCAAATTTAAATATTACAAATTGTGCACCTTTCTAGAATACAACAGACACTCTGCTGTGACACAAACAACAAGCAGACAGGTTTTTAAATTACTGTCCGCCTGGTGGCTCAGCGATAAGCTTGAGGGCTCCTGAGGTTAAAGTTCGAGGATTGATATCCGCAGTGGGCATGGCGCGGATAGCCCGTGGTGTGACTTTGCTTTGAAAAATAACTATGAACTACTTCATTTGTATTCGTTAGCTCTCTCTCTCGAATCATTGTAACGGTAATCGCTCTTGAAAATATAAAATATGAGAGAATTATCATCAAGCCGGTGCGACTGAAATTGTCATCGTTATATGTAAATTGTATTGCTACAGTTAAAGACTCCACTGACGTCACTATTTCAGTTTTTATGAAATGCAATACCAAGATTGTCTGTTTCTACAAAGGCTATGATCATCCGATTCACATCAGAAAATGGTGGGTCTCATTCTTCTGTACTCCATTAAGTATTAACGCGACATTCTTGTGGCTGCATATTAGGAAATGCTTTTGAAGTTGAAGCACTTTTACAGCTTTCGGTCAACAGATTTATGTTCTAATTATTGTTGTAGCATTGAGCCCTCATACAACAAACAGATACTCGACCCTCACGTGTCAATCATGAAAGCTGACATCACAGAAATAGGCCACCAGGAGCAAAAAAGAAGCCATTAATCGTTCTTTCACATTGACAGAAATATTTGAGTTGTATTTGCACAAAAAGTATGGCGATGCGCCATCATCGCTCGCGCTTCGAATATAAGTTATCTTTTCAAAATTTTGCTACCACTGATGTTCGGATGATGAGTTACATGTGAACTTTGTTCCTTAGCGAAAACGAATATATTAGAACAGTTGAACCGAAAATAACGAGGGAAAACTGTAGCTGGATTATTAAAAATAACGAGGGAAACTGTAGCTGGATGATTATAAATAACAAGGGAAAATGTAGCTGGATACTCAGAATTATCAAGGAAAAATATAACTGGATCCTCAAAAATAACAAGAGAAAACTATATCTGGATAACTGTAATTAACAGGGGAATACAATAACTGGGTAATTAAAAATAACAAGGGAAAAACTGTAGCTGGATATTCAGAATTATCAAGGAAAAATATAACTGAATCCTCAAAAATAACAAGGGAAAACTAGGTCTGGATAATTAAAAGTATCGAGGGAAAACTATATCTGGATAACTGTAATTAACATGGGAATGATATAACTGGGCAATCAAAAATAACAAGGGGGAAATTATAGATGGATAACCTAAATTAAAAAGGGGAAAATTATAGATGGATAACCTAAATTAAAAAGGGAAAATTATAGTTGGATAACTGAAAATACTAATTGGATAGTTGAATATAAAGGAAACTATAGGTGGATAACCAAAATTAACAAGGGAAACTATAGGTGGATAACCAAAATTAACAAGGGAAACTATAGGTGGATAACCAAAATTAACAAGGGAAAAAACTATAGGTAGATAACTGAAAATAACAACTGGAAACTGTATACAAGTGTATATTTTTACATCTGAAGAGGGTTTTAACTAATTAGGTAATTGCAAATGTGCTTTGTTCGCACCTAATGAGATTTTGACTATAGCTGGATAACTGCGAGTATACTTTATTCACACCTAATGATATTTAACTCTAGCTGGATAACTGCAAGTATACTTTATTCACACCTAATGAGATTTTAACTCTAGCTAGATAACTGCAAGTATACTTTATTCACACCTAATGAGATTTTAACTCTAGCTGGATAACTGCAAGTATACTTTATTCACACCTAATGATATTTTAACTCTAGCTGGATAACTGCAAGTATACTTTATTCACACCTAATGAGATTTTAACTCTAGCTAGATAACTGCAAGTATACTTTATTCACACCTAATGAGATTTTAACTCTAGCTGGATAACTGCAAGTATACTTTATTCACACCTGATGATATTTTAACTCTAGTTGGATAACTACAAATATACTTTATTCACACCTGATGAGACTTTGACTAGTA